GGGCCTGTTTTATGCAAGTTTCTCTCCAAAAACATTCAAAAAAGTGGCCATAATGTGCGCAGACCTCAAACCACCTTTGCTAGCTAGCATGTGAAGGCGTTTTCTCTCATGTGCTGCTTCTGTTGCTATTGTATGTAGACTTGTTCTGTGGATTTAATGACTAAAAGAAAAACTGAAGTTAAGAGAGTAATTAAATCTACCCTGTCCTGAACTGTGCTGTCGCAGTTGTTTCATCCTAAATTGCCTGGAAATTATTGTATGCTGGGGAAAAATATTTTTTGTATTTAACCCGTGCTGGAGCAGTGCGGGTTCTGCTTCAGCGCCGCAGAGAGCAGGCTGGAGTCGCGGTGGCTGGCCTCGCGTGGGCGGGCGTCCATCCATCCTGCAGCACCAAATCCGCCTCGTTGCTTTCATTTGGCAAGAGGAAGCAAGCTGCTTTTTGTGACGGTTCAAAAGGAAAATAATTGGCATGGGGATAGTTAATGTGAGTTGCCATTCCTTAACATTAGAGATTCCACTAAAGTACTAATAATTACTGTTAATATCTTTCAGTGGAAACTTTCAGAGTAAACGAGCACTAGTTGAAGCAGTATTTAACGGCATGCTGCTGGCATGATAAGAATGCAAATAAGCGTTATTAGCCTAATGATTTTGCTGTCGCCATGGCTGTGCAGCAGTAGTGTTGTGAATATGTCATGCAGTACCCGTGAATTTGGAAAGTGTGTCAAAACACAACTTCAATTAGTTTGCTCTAATTATGGCTCTAGAGAGTTCATAACTATATCACTCCTCATTAAAAAAGATTTTCTTATATGGATTAATACAGCACATAAAGGGATGTTTGAGCAATCTGAGGCAGAGGTGTGCGGAGGGAGGATGCCCATGGTGTGGTGGTGGCGCAGTGGGTCTGGAGTGGCGCCGGGGTCCAGCCCCATCCGTGGGCGGCAGGGCAGGGGCTGGGAAACCTCCTGGGAAGGACCAGGCAGCCGCTTCGCTATCCCTCAAAGAGGGTTTTGTCCCTCGGCATGTGAACCTGGCAGATGATTCTGGACAGGCTCTTCAGTTTGAACAAAGCAAACAAGGGGGAAAAAAACCCAACCAACCCCAAACACAAAAGCCCTAGGAATTGCACTTGATGCTAAAATAGAGATCTGGCGTGAAAACTTTGCTCCAGTAAAGGTCGAGGAGTGTAAGTAGTCAGAAGCCTGTGTCAGTCTGGCATCTCCGAAGCCCTGCAGGATGCCACGTGTCCGCGTGCCTTTCCCAGGGTAGTTGTCGTGTCTTTTGAACACTGTCTTTTCGTATTGCCTGAGCGTGTTCTTGCTTTGCAGAACGGGGAAAAGATTCTTGTGCTCGCAGGTGAGCAGTCGGTGAAGGGTTAAAGTAGTAATTGTTTAAATCTTTTAGGCTTTCCTCCCAGTTCTGTGATAATTTGATGAAGAACTTCACCCTAATTAAATATTCAAATTAGGAATAAGTGTCAATATGGCTTCCCATTGCCTGGAATGATGATTAATTGTATTCAAAACTCTAGTGGCCGCTGTAATCTAAACCAAACCGTTGTTCTTGATTATTTCTGCAACACATTTGCCATGTTTTTGTTTTAAAATTTAAACTAGTAATTGATTTGCCATATGCTGCAGAGCTGCACATACTTTCACGATATGTGTTTAGGAACTTGGGGACTTTGTAATTGGGATTTTCTTGCTTTTCAATGGCAGCCTTTTTTTTTTTTGTACTTTTTTTTGTCTTCTACAATGCAAAATGATTTGGCTTTCACATCGCATAAGGAAAATGCATTATGCAATCAACTTAGTAGGTATAAGTTATATTGATCCTGGCCAAAGTTTGCATTAATTTAAAATAAATTGGACTTTGTTTCCCGGGTTTTCACTACAATGTCATGCTTTTAAAAGGGGAAGGGGAGAGCTGGACCCCTTCTAGCAGTGGCTGCCTTCTGTCTTGTGGTCTTGCAGCTAAATGTTCTCCTTGGAGACAGCTGGCTCTCCTCGGTGTGGCTCGGTGGGAGTGATGAAGTGCCCATTTGTCCTGCCTCAGAGATGGAAAGGGGCCATGGGGGGGTACACAGGCTGTCATTTCCAAACGCTGTCGTAGCAGCCTGGGTGCTGGCAGGCCGTGCTCAGCAGCAGCCGAACTGGCGCTTCTGGCTTTTGGGCCCCAGGAGCAGTCACGGGAGCTCTTGCCCGCTGAGAGCAGGTCTGAAGGTGTGTACCCACGTGTAGCCTTTGTAATTCCCGCTGCCACGAGGGAATATCTCGGTGTGTCTTTTAATGTCGATACGTCTAACGTGGAGAGCAAACGGGATGCCCTGAGGAGTTAGGCAGTGAGGTCTGGGTGCGTCATCTTCCGCTGCCATATTCGTGCGTGCGTGGTCACAGTCCCTCGGATGGAGAGCGATTCATTTTAATTACACACGTGGAACACGCGCACCGCTTCAGCATATGGCGGTCGTGAAAGCTGGTGCTTGCGTGAGCTGCCAGGCACACTAGTAGCGACTGGGGACCTGGTTCAGAAAGTCTTTTGCAAACTAAGGATTCAGAGCTTTCCTGGAGGGCAGCTGCGTGTGTCTGTGGGGCTGGGGGCTCCCCCGTGGGGCTCACGCAGTGCCTGCTGCGGGATGCCGCAGTCCCCTGGCTGAAGGGATGCTCGGCACCTCCCTCGCAGCCTCCCGTGGTCCAGCCGGCTTGTGGTGGGGTGTGGAGGGGGGTTGTGCGGGTGGAGGAGGGTCAGCCTCTCTGGCGGCAGAAGCTGGTAGAAGCTTTTAAAATACTCTGCTCAGAAATGGGCCTTTTAAGTAGATCTGCTTTGTTTAC